CAACAAAAAGGCTGGGTGTGGTGGCTCAGGCCTGTAATCCCAGCACTTCGGGAGGCTGAGGCAGGTGGATCACCCGAGGTCAGGAGTCTGCGACCAGCCTGACCACCATGGAGAAACTCCGTCTCTACCAAAAATAAAAAATTAGCTGATTGTGGTGGTGTGCACCTGTAATCCCAGCTACTTGGGAGGCTGAGGCAGGATAATCACTTCAACCTAGGAGGCAGAGGTTTCAGAGAGGTGGAGGTTGCAGTGAGCAGAGATCATACCATTGCACTCCAGCCTTGGCAACAAGAGTGGAATGCCGTCTCAAAAAAAAAATGCCTTACTGATGGTAATAGGTCAACCAAAGTTGCCTGCTGCTGCCACGGGCACTGTTATCATTTTGCTGTCCTTATTATCAGGAAAATCAGTTCTTCCAACTCCCTGCCTTTTGACACCAGGGGAGGGAAGTGTGGGGAGCTAGAAAGTAAGTGGGTGAGTCGGGAGCTGGCCTGGGCCTCTTAGAAGAACCTGTGTTCTCTGTGCTTCTCGGGGTTGGCTCCAAGGTGACTGTGAAATCTCCCAGGTGCCTATCAGGGCCTTGTATCCTACTTCCCATCTGGAAACCTGGAGGGGATGGCTCCTCCTGGAAATGGTAGGGGTGGGGTTAGGGACAGTTCCACAGTGGCAAAGGACAGTCAGGCTGTCCTATGCTTGGAGAATGGTGTGGGGGTAGCTGAGGATGACGGAGCCAGCATGTGCAGCCCCCGGAGACCTGAGCTGCGGAGGGATGGGCCCTCTCCAGGAACTGGTCTTTGTCCAGATCCGCAAAGAGTGAGATGGGGGGAGGCATACAGGATGCCCCTGCCTGAGCACAAAGCAGGACATCCACCCGTCAGCCTGTGCAGAGACAAGTGAGGATCAGGGATGCTCTGTTAGCCCCTGGATCCCAGAGGCAACCCCAGGGAGACCCACAGTTCCCCTTGTAAATTGAGCCCATCACTGGCAATGCTGTGTGTCTGTGTAGGGGCGGTGGAGTGTCTCACAGCCATGTCATTTTCTCTTTGAGATTTGTTGAAGCACTTTGCCCCTGGGACCAGGAAAGGCTCCCCGGTGACCTACTCCCTGCCAGACTGGTATATCCACCACAGCAAGCCACCGACAGCCAGCCAGCGAGAGTAAGTATCTTAAAGTACTCATGTTTTTGTTTAGCTTTACAGGAAAGAAAATAGCCCAATCCTGATAGCAAGCATGTGGTGTGACAGCTTCAGGCCCTCTTTTACAAAAGCCTGCTCTATGGGGGATGTAGCCTAGGTGGTCATAAAACCTGAGTTCTGAAAACCTGTGACATCTTGTGCTGCCCTAGAGCCTTGTGTCTTTGGGCTCCTTCTCAGTAAATGGCACTGCAGGACTGACCATGTCCGCTTATCATAGAAATAATCCATCCCAAAGGGTTCTTGTTAAAGACAAAAGGCAGTGCCTAACAAGCTAGAAATACATGAAATCCTAAGTTTCTATGCTCATTACTGAGTTATGGGGAGTGAATGTTCCCATAATATTTGAAATGTCTTAGAAATTCCTATTTGTGGCTATGTAAACTTTATCTCCAAAACCGCCTCTCTTGGATTGAGAAGTAAAATAAAAAAATCATTTCGGGTCATTTCCCCATTTTTTTGGCTTGAAAATAGGACCACCGTAGATATATCCAGGCTGTCATCCAGTGTTATTTGAATGTTCTGCCATGGTCACAATGCATCTTTTGTCTTCAGGATTCTGGTTTCCCTGTTGTTTAAAATGAATGTGTGTGGTGGCTCATGCCTATAATCCCAGCACTTTGGGAGGCTGAGGCAAGTGGATCACCTGAGGTCAAGAGTTCAAGACCAGCCTGACCAATATGGTGAAACCCTGTCTTTATTAAAAATACAAACTTAGCTTGGTATGGTGGTGTGCACCTATAGTCCCAGCTACTTGGGATGCTGAAACCGGAGAATTGCTTAAACCTGGGAGGTGGAGGTTGCAATGAGCCAAGATCTGGCCTAAGCAACAGAGCAAGACTCCATCTCAAAAAAAAAAAAAAAAGGATACTCTGTGCTAACAGGTTACATCAAAGTGGATGAGCTGAGCAAGAAGAGACAGGCTTAGAAGGGGAAGCAGGAGACTGGGGACACTCCTGCAATGCTGCCTGTGCTTGCAGGAACAGAGCAGGTCAGGCAGCCTGAGGTGAGGGTAGGACCCGAGTATCCCAGGCAGATGTGCAGGGATGGGTTTCCTAAGTGCTCTTGACCCTGAGCTCTGACTGAGGGATGCCCAGTGGGCCGGGACTCTAAGCAGCTGTGCATCTTCTTGCAGCCGACGACGGCTCCTGCCCTATCTGGGTGTCCTGAATCGACAGTCAATTCTGGGGGTGGTAGGGATACCTCATGTCTCTGGGGTGCTCCTGGAGAGCCTTATCTCAGGCATGCCCCTTCCTCCCATACCCACACTGCCACATGGACTTTTTCTTCCCTTCTTTCTGCTTTTTTCTTCCAGTCTGCTTGTACCACTGTTCCTTTGCTGTTGCCTCCCATCCCATATGTCCTTACCAATTATCCAAGCCTCCTAGTGATGATCTATTTCTGGGGCCTTCAGTGTGTTCCCTCCTCCTGGGACTTTGTCCTCCTCTGGAATGCAGACCACCTGCTCCAGGTCCCAGGACAGACAAAGGATGTGAACAGTGGGAATTGCAGGAAAAATCCTTCCTTCACTGAAAATTTGGGAACCTAGGAGCTACAACTTAACACTGCTTTTTTTTTTTTTTTTTTAATTGTCCCTCCTTTGTTGTTTTCAATGCTCATCTGTCTCTGCAGGCTTTTTCCTGCCCTCAGGCCATATCAAAAGTGGGAGGGCCAGGGAGAGGCACTGTTCCTCACACCTGTGCTCCCTGAGCAGATCAGCCACGCTCCCGGCTTCTCTTACTGGGTATCTGCGACCACCTCCCAAGCCTGCATGCCCAGCCTCTGACTGCTGCTCCCTGGTCTCCTCCCTTGCTCTCTCAGAGGCTCCCAGCTGCCTCCTTCAGGTGCCTTACTGCAGTGGTGCCCAGGACCCCACTCCTCAGCCCTGCCCCTGACGCCCAGTCTGTAGCTGGGCCTCTTCCAGCCTCCTGGAGCCCTGAACAAGTGCAAAAGGGGAGCAGGACATGGGGGCACCCCTGCAGCCCCTCAGACACTGTGTGAGGGCTTGTGTGCTGCCGTGTGAAGTTTGAATCCAGTGTTCTTCCTTGTTCAAACCTGGTTATGTGTACAGATGGCACCTTCAGAGATCTAAAGGGTAAAGCATTCCAGTGCCGCTGGGTGCCCCTCCTGTACACGCTGTGTGTATGGGAAGACTGGTTGGTAGTCATTAAACATGATCATCCAACAGGAAACAGAGACTGTTTTTATTATTTTAAATGATCATGTTAAATGGTAAATGTTTAGGAGTATACAGCTGTTTTAAGAAGTCAAACTAGTAGATGCTATTCTACAAGAAAGAATTATTTCATAAGGTATGTTTTATAAATTCATATTTTAGTATATCTTGTTTTACTAATGTTGAGACCTTGTGATTTCGGAGTGGGCCTCCTGATCCTGTTTAGCAGGCACAGGAGGGAGGGCCCATCTGTGTTTTCAAAGAGGATGGGTGGTGCTTATGTCAAAGAGATGGAAGAGAAAAGAATAAGGGAGGGAGAGAAAGAAAAAGAGAGGAAAAGAAGAAGAAGAGGGAAAGAGAAAAAGAAAGAGAGCAAGAGAGGGAGACAGAGGGAAAGAGAGAGGAGAAAGGAAAGGAGGGGGGCAGTGAGAGAGGGAGGGAGACAGAAGGAGAGAGGGTGCGGGAGAGCCAGTGATGGGAGGTGGAAGGAAGGGAGGGAGGAAGGAAGGGAGGGAGCAGGAGTGGCTCTGAGCACCAGGCTGTAACTGCTGTCTGTCCCTACAGAGTCCCAGTCATCTCCATGCCGGATTACATGGTTCATGAAGAATTTAACCCCGATCAGGCCAACGGTAGCTATGCATCCAGAAGAGGGCCCTTCGACTTCGACATGAAAACATTTTGGCAAAGAGAGGCTGAGGAACTTGAAAAGGAGAAAAAAAAGGTGACGGGAGCCCATAAATAGACGACATCCGCATCCGCTTTACTTCTGTGGCCCCGAGTAATTAAGTGCTGTGATGTTAGCTGCCAGTGGCGTCTTAAGTGGCCCGTGGCATCGGCCATGTGCTCTGTATTTTAAGTTTGGATCTACTAAAAGGCAAGCGGCCACCATACTATGTCTTTCTTTTTCTTTTTATGAATAATGACTTTAAGAGGTAAGATTCCTTTTCGCTGAATGATTTATAGATCGTTAATGCTTATCTAGAGGGAAACTGGCATAGCACTGCTTATCTGGCAAACATAGAAAAGGAATTTTATATTTAGTCATCCCATTTCTGAATATTTTCATTTATTTATGTATTAAGTCAAAAGTTTTCTGAAATACTCTTTGTTGATAATAAAGGAAGAGAAGATGAGCTCTCTTCTTCTGTACAAACTCCTGGTGGTGTATTTGACCACAAAGTGACTGGCCGTACAGTGAAGCCTTCTCAGAGGACGTGTATTTTAAGAGGGCAATGGAGAAAGTGGCAAGCAATCTTGAACTGGCAGCTCTACTGCTGGGAAGTCTTAATTGGAGGCCCTTCCATCCCCTTTCCTTAGTGCTGGAAGGAATAAGAGCCAGGCCTCCAGCCCTGCCCGAGGGCTCTGTGTTGCCCAGGACATCAGCACCAGGTCTCAGATTAGTCTCAGTTCTTGTGACATTGGGTTTTGCGAGTGAAACCGTGAAATTCACATTACAAATAACAACAGTGTTTGATACTGAGAATAAGAGTGAACACCATTGTCACCTGATGGGTCACATTTTGAACAGTGAAGAGTCTGGATGTGTCTCAGCATAGGCGGAAGTTGTTGTTGTGAACTATCTATGCCAGATTCCTAGACTGTTGCCTCAGTGTCTTGGTTTGAAGGGAACCCCTCAGTTTATTTTGGGGACTTGAGTAGCTGAACACTGAGTGAAATGGCAACTGGCTGCAATGGGCCACATGATTTTTCTTCAAGATCTCCTCTATGTCCAGCTGTGATTCAGACTTTGGGTTGTTTCCATGATCCATACAAAGGCACTGGACCTTTTATGTTGTTTTTCATTTTTTTTTTTTTTTTTTTTTAGTTAGAAATTCTTGCTGTGTCACACAGGCTGGGGTGCAGCATTATCATAGCTCATTACACCCCCAAACTCCTGGGCTCAAGGGCTCCTCCTGCCACAGCATCCTGAGTGGCTGGGTGTGCATGCCACCACACTTGGTTGAAATGGACCCTGTTAAGATTCAGAGCCATTTCTTAGTGATGTGCAGGTGGCAATTACCCTGAGCTACAACCTCTAGTGAGAAATGAACCTCTGGATATTAACCATGGTTACAGCTCATATCTAGAGAAATCTTAAAATGCTAAATACTGTGCCACTCCCAAATCAAGGGGTTTTTAAGTTAGTACCCATTTACAGAAGCTGTGCTAGGAGCTGCACAAAGTTCCTAAAGCCAGCCCCCCACTGTGGGGAAGGAGATAAGGTGACAAGGCGTGGTGGTTAAAGACACACACGCTGAATATTTAACAGCTAGAGGGACATGGTGTTGGGTAAGGTGCAGGGGATAAGCACCACATCGGGATGGGCTCTGATTGTCCCAGTAAGATACACCATCACTACTTTGGTAGGAAGCTCACCTATGAATGGTGATCACATCCTGGGAGTGGACCAGCGGACAACGTGCTTCTTCAGCTGTGCCCTGGCCCCACACGGGGCACATGGTGGACACTTGACAAGACTTAGGGCACATGTGTTGGCTGTTGGTTACCCGCATTCATGGGGGCCTCGCTCACCTACAGGGTGATCGGGGGACCTTGTTTCCTCTTTTTGAATAGCCTCTTTTCTTCTTGTAATTGTTAGCAATACCTCCATGGATTTTGTTTGCTTGCTTTTGTCTTTTCCAGTTTTCCCATAGCATTTATTTCTATGTTTCTATTTCTTTCAAAAAGATACAATTTACAAAGAGGGAAACCCACCTTTGATAGAGAACGGCTCTCCAGGTTTTGACTAACATGTCCCTTATGTACCACCACAGCTGTCAAGGAACATAGCAGTTCTTTCACCCCCAGGATTTATACGCCTCTTTGCAGTCAGCCCCTCACCAGCCTCTTGCAAGCCCTGATCTGTTTTCAGTCTTATAGTTCTTCCTGACAGAGCAAAAGCATCGCCATCTTGGACAAGTCTCTCGTTCTAAAAGTTCACCTTAATAAAAATTGTCTAAATCCAAGGGGCATCCACCTAAGGGCTACAGTCAACCTGACCGTGAACCACAGACCACATCTCCAACCAGAAACATTCCAAACTCCCCCCTGACCAGAGACACGACCCTAAATAAGCCCCCTCCAGCAGGGAAGATGCCAGCCCTGAGATAACCCTCTCCAGGCTGAAAGATATCTGCCCCAAAATAACCTCCCCTTCTCCCAGAGAGATTCCAACCCCACCATGAACTTCTCCACACATGTAAACTTTCCAAGCTTCTGATAAGCCCCCTCACCCTAAAACCGATATATACTCTTTGTAAGAGAGAAATGCTCCTGACCGCAATCAGCTAAGAATACCTTTCAGGTTTTAACTAAAGAAAAACCGTCTTTGACTGCCAAGCCACGTTTCATATTTCTTTCCTCTTTCTTTAACTCTTATAGTTCCTTTTCCAGAATGGGAAATCAATGGAAACATACGGCGTGGAGTCTTTCCTGCTTGGCTTCTGCCATGTGTTGTAATACATTTACATTATGTGTTTACATTACATACACATGGCCGTGCTGTTCTGATATCAGTAGTTCATTCATTTCTATTGCTGAGTTTCATTGGCTGATCATGATGCAATTTGTTTATCCATTCATTTGTTGGTGGACATCTGGGTTTTTTCCAGTTCTGGGTGATTATTATAAAAGCATACAGGTGCTTTTGTACACATATGTTTTCATCCGGGTGTGGGAAGTTCCTTCAGGACCAGGATCTTAGTTGTTCGTTGTTTTTCCTACTAAGCAGATGGTATCTTTACTCGAATATAGCATCTGCTTTTAAGTTACTGACCGTCCCTTTTACATAACTATTTTGTTGAATGAGATTATTCCTAATTTATATTTTATTATGACCATTTACAATGACCACATTGAAAGTCCAGCCCTATGAGCTTTGTACCTTTGCTACCGCTGGTGAGTTTTCTTCTCTAGCTATTGAATGCTTTCCACTAACTCAGGGTTTTGTGTGTTTCCCCACACAGCTGAGGCTACCAGCCATTAACTCAAAGTATCTGAGCAAAGCAGGCACCCCACTTGGCCCTAAGGACCCCACAGGAAGTAGACTCTCCTTTCCCCCCATGTAAGTGCTCAAGCTACGCCCCCACTGTCTGCTCTGGGTTTGGGTTTGGCTTTCCGTCTTTCATCCAGTGATGGCTGCGCCAGTGGCAGCATCTACACAGCTTCCCGAAGCCCTGCCCACAGGCTGGCTTGGCTGAGCCCGCCACCTCCTCGCTGTAGTTTCTGTTCCTTTCTAATGTCATTTTACCCCTGTTGAGCACATCTTCCCTTCCAGGTCATGCTTGCTGCAGGTTGGCAGTGTGAAGGCCCTGCTTCTCCATCAGGCTGTGCCCTGCCTGAAGCCCCTGCCGCAGTATCACCCTCACCACAGTTCGAGGGGGCTGCTTGTCCTGCACGTAGGGGCGATCAGGTCCTGACATTTCTGTGTCTAAGGCCTGAACTCAGGCGTCCATGCCTTGTAAGCTCGCTAGCTCTGTTTCCAGTTGGAAGATACAGCAGGCACGTTGACATTTGCTGATCCTCCAGCTGGAGAGTGAAACCCCTGAGGCCTTAGGTGTCTTCTTACTCTCCCAGAATCCAAGTTTAATGCTAGGATAAATGTTATTAATTACCTGACTAATTCTTCCAACGGCTTCTTGTCCAGTGGGGGAGAAACAATCAGATACATTGTATTGTGACAAATGTCATGAGAGCACCAAACTCAGGCTGATAGAGAAGGAAATACATATGTATTCTGTGTTTATAGATATGTAAGTATATGTGTATACATTGACATGTCTTTATAGATGCACAAGGGAGAGAAAATGAAACATTAGGAGTAGCCATGATAACAAAGTGATTGAACCCCTCCTGGGTTCAAGAAATCCTCCCACCTCAGCCTCTCAAGTAGCTGGGGCTATATGCATGCACCACCACAGCCAGCTAATTTTTTATTTTTTGTAGAGACAGGGTCTCACTACGTTGCTCAGGCTGGTATCAAACTCCTGGGCTCAAACGATCCTCCTGCCCGTGTCTCTCACAGTGCTGAGATGGAGGCTCAGAGAGAACAGGTGGTGTGTTGCAACTGCTTGAGCTGAAAGCTCACACTGCCTCTACTGTGTCAGACTGCCCTGTCACTCTTCGCTGTGGGTCAGGATAAGATCTGTGAAGATGCAGTAGACGGTGTCACTCTTCGGTGTGGGTCAGGATAAGATCTGTGAAGATGCAGTAGATGGTGAAAGGCTAAGCTAACGTCAGGAAATGACTGGAGACAAAGCTGTTTGGAGTGCAGCGGTGACATCTCAGCTCACTATAGCCTCCACTTCCTGGGTTCAAGTGATTCTCCTGCCTCAGCCCCCCGAGTAGTGGGAGTATAGGTGCTCACCACCACAGCTGGAGAGTTTTGTACTTTTAGTAGAGTTGGGGTTTCATCATGTTGGCCAGACTGGTCTCGAATTCCTGGCCTCAAGTGATCCACACACCTGGACTTCCCAAAGTGCTGGGATTACAGTTGTGAGCTACTGTGCCCAGCCCCCCACTTTTTTTTTTTTTTTTGAGACAAAGTCTTGCTCTGTCACCCAGCCTGGAATGCAGTAGCTCGATCTCGGCTCGTTGCAACCTCTTTCTCCTGGGTTCAAGCGATTCTCCTGCCTCAGGCTCCCTAGCAGCTGGGACGACAGGCGCACGCCACCATGCTCAGCTGATTTTTGTATTTTTAGTTGAGACAGGGTTTCACCATGCTGGCCAGGATGGTCTCCATCTCTTGACCTTGTGATCCACCCACCTCGACCTCCCAAAGTGCTGGGATTACAGGCGTGACCCACTGCCCCAGTGGTGTTTTTATTTTTATTTTTTTAAAGGTAGTTCTAAGCAATCCATTACTACCAGGGAAGAGGGTGGTGTTTTCTTAAGAGGCATTCCTGTGAAATACTCGAATTACTACTATTTTTTTTTTTTTGAGACAGAGCCTTGCTCTGTCGCCCGGGCTGCAATCTTGGCTCACTGCATCCTCTACCTCCCAAGTTCAAGCGATTCTCCTGCCTCAGTGTCCTGAGTAGCTGGAATTACAGGCGTGTGCCACCACATCTGGCTAATTTCTGTATTTTTAGTAGAGATGGGGGTTTCACCGTGTTGGTCAGGCTGGTGGTCTCGAACTCCTGACTTCGTGATCCACCCGCCTCGGCCTCCCAATGTGCTGGGATTACAGACGTGAGCTGCTGTGCCTGGCCTAGAATTATTACTAACTTTTTTTTTTTTTTTTTTTTTTGAGACTGAATCTCGCTTTGTCACCAGGCTGCAGTGCAGTGGTGCAATCCCGGCTCACTGGAACCTCCACCTCCTGGGTTCAAGCGATTCTTCCGCCTCAGCCTCCCAAGTAGCTGGGACCACAGGCGCGTGCCACCCCACCCGGCTAATTTTTTTGTATTTTTAGTAGAGATGGAGTTTCACCATGTTGGCCAGGTTGGTCTCGATCTCTTGACCTCGTGATCTGCCCCCCTCAGCCTCCCAAAGTGCTGGGATTACAGGCATGAGCCACCACGCCCGGCCACTATTACTAAATCTTAATTGACTATCACAAAGAAAGATTTTGGAAATGGAACTAAAAATGCTCTCATGCCTGTACAAGGGATGCTTTGACATGCACCTTCTTATGCTTAAAAATGGAGACAGCGAGACAGACAAAGAGGCAGAGGGAGAGACAAAGGGGCGGAGAGACAGAGGGAGACATGGACGGGGAGAGATAGAAAGAGAGCTCTTCATGAGGTTTGAATGGACAGTAACTCCTAGTCAGCGTGTTCACTGAATACTGCTTCTGCTTTATCATTACCCTTGTACTTAAGTTTCACATGACTTTTTCTCTTTTTAAGGCCTGGTCAAAAAAAGAGTTCACCAACCAATTTTTCCAAACTCATTAGCAATGGTTATAAGAATGAGTGGCTGCAGCAGCAGCGAACTGACTCAGACCAGAGGACCCCGAAGACATCCGGGGCGTCATCATCATCTCAGTCCTCACGAGACCTGGAAGGTCCCCAGGATGCAGCAAGGCTCCAGGATGCAGAAGGCCCTGAGGATGCCCCAGGTGAGGTGCAGGTGGCCATCTGCATTTACCGGAGGCTTGGTTCTTTGTGATACAGCAGCTGACATTCTTATCACATGATGCATCTCGTAAGGAGAAATGAGTAACCCAAAAACCACGTGAAAAAGCCCACAGAAATACTAAGGTTGCAGGACCCGGCGCGGTGGCTCACGCCTGAAACTCTCAGCACTCTGGGAGTTCGTGACAGGCTGACCACGAGATCAGGAGTTCGAGACCAGCTTGGCCAACATGGTGAAACCCTGTCTCTACTGAAAATACAAAAATTAGCCGGGTCTGGTGATGGGTACATGTAATCCCAGGTCCTTGGGAGGCTGAGGCAAGAGAATTGCTTGAACCCGGGAGGCCGAGGTTGTAGTGAGCAGAGACTGCGCTATTGCATTCCAGCTTGGGTGACAGAACAAGACTCTGTCTCAAAAAAAAAAAAAAAAGAAAAAGAAAAAAAGAAATACTATGGTTACAGATAAGCCTGAGGGTAATACTTGTTTTGCTCTTTCCTCTTTATTCAGATGAACAGCAGAAGTCATGACTTTTGGGGCTTTACATTTCCTTTTATTTGTCCAAAATTTTGATAGTCCATTTCATATAACAAACAAATAATATACCAGCTAATATCAATTTCTAAGCTTCCAGATCCAAAAAATTTTGACCCTAAAATGCTTCTACTTTTGCATAAGCAGCTGGTCCTTTCTGAGGTCACTTCTTAGGAAGCCTTCATTCTTTGAAAATAAGTCAAAATTCAAACTTAAAATTACTCCATTATTGGCATGTCTTAAGCTTTGAATAATTTAGCACATTCTCTGTAATTAGATGTTCAAAGTACCGTATTAGTTTTTATTTTATTATAATATTTTATTTTATTTTTTGAGACGGAGTGTTACTCTGTTGTCCTGGCTGGAGCGAAGTGGCAAAATCACAGCTCACGGTAGCCTTGACCTCCTGGGCTCAAGCGATCCTCCCACCTCAGCCTTCCAAGTAGCTGAGAATAAAGGCATGCATCACCACACCCAGCTATTTTTTTTATTTTTCATAGAGACAAGGCCTCACTATGTTGCCCCGGCTGGTCTCAAAGTCCTGGGCTCAAACAGTTCTCCTGCCTCTGCCTTCCCAATGTACTGAGATTACAGGTGTGAGCCACTGTGCACAGCCATTCATTTTTATTTTTAGTGGTTACAGAAAGAATTCCCCTTATTTTTTCAACACATCCATTTTAAAGCCTATTTTGCATTATGTTCAGTATCCACAGCTCTATTAATTATTGACCAATTGCCTCTGGGAAACTTGTTTTTACTATTGAGGATTGAGTTCTTTGATTAGGAGGAAAGACGGTGTGTTGTACCTCTGCAGACAGTTGAAGTGTTTGGTGGGGTTATTTGTAAGTGAGGTCATGGCTTGCCATTCCACACCCACTTCCTTACTGCATTTGCTGAGCAAGATCTGCCACTTACTGGCTAACTCTCTCCTTCATTATACTGGAGGATGAGATGGTGACAAGTTCATATGCAGTGTTGTTAAAAAGTGCCCTACTGAACTTTACAATGTCAATAGTGTTTTATGACTTACTGCTGTTTTTATTAAATCTTTATGTAAATTATGACTTCTTTTAACACTTGATCTTTTTCATTAACCTGAATAAAAAATGTACTTGTTCTTTATTACAGAATCTTCTCAAAGTGAGTATTTATGAAGTAATCTGCATCAAAACACAAAAAGTCTTACACAAAAAAAATCGATGGACATAGTCCTGCAATCTGAGACCGAAGCCGCTCGGGAGCCTGCAACGTCCTTCTCCAAACTGCATGCATTCTGACTATAAAAGCCTATGCCATACATGCTTTAAAAAAAATCAGTGTTCCAGAAACATAGTTAGGGGGAGGAAAAAAAGGACCACTCACATTATCACAACATGGTTATTATTCTTTTATTCATGTTACACAAGCAAAGACAGTTTAGTTCATAGACACACATTGTATCACTCGCCATGTGAGAGTCATACTGGAAAAGATTATGTAAAAGCCACGGGAGGCTTCAATTTATTTTTTAGTTTACCTTCTATTTTATTTTTGACAAATAATTGTATACAACTATGGGATGCAATGCGATGTTTTGAGATATATATATATATATATATATATATCCACATACACACACACACACACACACACACACCTATATATACACACACACACATACATTATGGCATCATTAAATCAAGGTAACTAAAATATCCATTACCTCAAATACTTATGCTTTTTTTTGTGGTGATCACATTTAAAATACGTTCTTTCAACAGTTTTGAAATATACAATATATTATTAACTGTATTCACCTTGCTGTGAAATAGATCATTAAAACCGATTTCTCCTGTCTAAGGGAAACTTGGTACCCTTTGACCAACCTCTCCTCTTACGCCATTAACTTCTGCCCCATCCGCAGCACCTGGTAACACATTCTATTCTACTTCTATGAGTTCAACTTTTTTTGATTCCATATATAGCTACAATTATACAGTACTTGTCTTTCTGTACCTGGCTTATTTTATTTAGAATAATGTACTTCAGGTTCATTCATGTTGTCACCAGTGATAGAATTTACTTCTTTTTTCAAGGCTGAATAGTGTTCCATCGTGTACCTACCACATTTTCTTTCCTTATTCATCTGCTGATGAACAGTGTGGTTGATTCCATAGCTTGGCTTTTGTGAATAGTGCTGCAGAAAATTTGGGAGTGCAGATATAGCTTTTTGACATACTTATTCCGTTTCGTCTGACGTATACCCAGCGGTGGGATTGCTAAATCATATGGTAATTCGATTTTTAGCATTTTAAGGAAACTCCATAATGTTTGCCATAATGACTATTCTAATTTACATTTTACCTTCAGTATGTAAGGGATCCCTTTTCTCCACATTATTGTCAACACTTACTTTTTGTCTTTTTGATAATAGCCACTTTGACAGGTGCGAGATATTGCATGTGGTTTTCATTTGCACTTCCCTGTTGATAGTGATGTTGAGCGTTTTTTTTTTTTTTTA